ACGAAAAACCATTGGTCTCACATGATCCCAAGTCTATATATATATATATATATATATATATATATAGAGAGAGAGAGAGAGAGAGAGAGAGAGACCTAATCAAATGAGAATTGTTTTTGATTGTGGTAACCGTGAGATCTTATCTTAACCACAAATCGAAAGTTAAATTAAGAAATTAATAATTTTGGTGATTTTAACTTAAAATATTTATTAACAACATTTTAGAGATTTCATAAATATCCTCTCTCATCTCTCCTCTCTCCGGCGAATCTTATTCCGATGAATCTTATGTGAACACAAGATACAAACTGTGATACCTACAAAAGATATTCACTGTGATACCCAGATATACATACAAGATGTACAATGATACCGTTTGTAAAACAATGAAAATGACAATAATGCACACTATGATACATTTCAGAAAACAAAAAAAAAAACACATTGTGATACACATGAAACATTGTGAATGTTATCACTATAATACACTTTAATTCACAAACGTTTTTAAAATACGATGTATATTAGGTAATTGATATACTAGGTAACTAATTTTAATTAAATCTTTTCTTCTAAAAAATTTAATAAAATCTTTTGATTAGTTGTCGAAAATAGAATTACTAGATTACATTTTTAGTTTGTTTAAGAAATGTCTTTAAATATCGTAAATGAGTGGTTCACATTGAATCTCACGGTTACCACAAACTAATCAGTTCTCTTTGTTTGTAGTTGTTGCTTTTTTAGGGGTAGGCGAAATGAAACAGCAATGTATTACTACCGATATTGTTGCATGTATTTTCATTTAAATCAGAATCAAGTCAAATCAGATATTAAAAATGTAAAAAATGAGTTTTAATACCGATATTGTTGCATGTATTTTCATTTGAATCAGAATCAAGTNAATGAGTTTTAATACCGATATTGTTGCATGTATTTTCATTTGAATCAGAATCAAGTCAAATCAGATATTAAAAATGTAAAAAATGAGTTTTAATATTGATGCGTGCGAGAAGAAAATTAGTAGGTAGGAATACATTTAAAAATATATAAAGGTGCATTTAGCCCACTCCATTACTAAAAACAATAACAACATCAACGCTTAACTGTTTTCGTCACATAACACTGTGAAGGTAAGTAAATCTTAACAGTAAAATACTGTAAAAGTAAGTAAACTTTCACAGTGTTTTTATTCTGAAGGTTCGATTTTTTTTGTATTTTTATAATGTTTTACTATGAAGTTTCAGTATAATTTTTTATAATATTATATATCATAAAAACAGACTGGTTTCACGTGAACACAAATTATTTTGATGGTTATGGATATAAAAACACTTTTTTTTAATATAAAAATAAAGAAATAAAAGCAAGTGAGTTCCCTCGATCACAGTCCCATGCCAGCTGATCATCGAAACCGTCGGCTTTTATTCATGGCTACTCGATGCTGATCATCTTCTCAGAATCCAACATTTGAATCCAACTTCACACATTTACCATTACCATTACCATTACCATTGATGGCGGTATACAGAGCTGATGATGACTACGATTATCTCTTCAAAGTCGTTCTTATCGGAGACTCCGGTGTTGGCAAATCCAATTTGCTTTCCAGGTTCACCAGAAACGAGTTTAGCCTTGAATCTAAGTCCACAATCGGCGTTGAATTCGCCACCAGAAGTATTCGTGTTGATGATAAGATCATCAAGGCTCAGATTTGGGATACTGCCGGCCAAGAAAGGTTCATTTTCCTTCCTTTCTCTTCTCTTTGTTTGTTTTAATTTTTTTTCCAGATAATCTAGTGTACTTGGTTGTCAATTACGTGAAGCATTCAATTCGATATTTCTTTGCTGTTTCAGCTGTGAACGTATTTGGAGGTTTTGGGATTTTGTCTCGATTTATAGGGGTTTTTCTAGGGTTTGTCATATGTTGTTTGGTGGAGTATGGTGTAACTGTAAGAACAAACTTCAATGATATTGGGGAAGTTCTTGCAATTACTACATTTGTTCCAGAATCTGAGAACCTTTCTGTTTTTACTTTTGTTGTCAAGATGAGCAGTTCTTTTAGTCTAAATTGACATGGTTTTTACTTTGATTATGAAGTAATAATTGTTGGTGATTTTAGTGAAATCGTCAGTTTATTTAATGTAATTGAATTAGCAAGAGAATATCGGGTTGTTAGTTAAGCTATATCACGAACTAGGAGGTGTGGAGTGCACACTCGTTTAAGTTAATTAAAGCCCGGGATCCTTGGATCAGGGTCCAAGGGGCAGCCTACGTGAAATTCGGAAACATCTGAGCCCTCTTCAGAAGCCTCCGAGTCTTGTTCAGAAGCTTCTGACTCTGAGGAAGCTTCCGACTTTGAAGAGCTTTTGGCTTTGAAGTACTTTTGAGTTGCCTTCTGATCCGTGTAAGCAGTTTGTAACTGTTGTGTTTGTAGCTGTTGTTAACTGCCACTCCAAACAAGCATTTGCGGATGGGGAGTTATTCTTGCAATTAATATAGGAGCAGTCACGATTCTTTTAAGTTTAAAAGGGACGAATTCTGCCTAAATTGGTCCCGAAAAATTGAGATTATCCTTGAATTAATTTCGTGATACCCTGACAGATTTGGGTCGAAATATAACCTAATGAAAGCGGGCTCTTACGCAATCTCAGTTTTTATCCAAGTTATATACTCGCTATTTATCTGTAGTTTCTTGATATCCTCCAACAATAGTTCCATGGATTTCCTCATTGTTTTGGATGCTAGAATTAAGACTCGATCTAAAACAAACATGGAGTGTTTGGATCATTTTTACCTTCTGTGAATATGAAGTGTTAAGATCAGTTATGCTTTTAGACCATTGTAGGCAATATACAGCAGGGTATTTTCAATCCATGGCTATGAAGAAAAGTATAAATCACATATCCCATCTAGCTGTTTAGCTTCAATGGTCTTGTGGACTTCTAAACAATGGTTGGAGTGTAACGATCTTTTGGAAGATGAATCAGGAATTGGTTGATTCTTGATGCTGATGGTTGTCAATTTAATGATGGTCATGACATTTGGTTGATTCATCGTGTAGAGAGTGAGTTCTTTTGTCAATTGTGATTGTGGTTTCTAGAGGAGGTTCATTTAGGAAGCTTTAATATTTTAGGAACCCAAGAACCACCCTTTTTGTGAGTATTCATTATGAATAACGTGAAATATTCATGATGAATGTCATGACAAATATTCACAAAATAGGTGGTTCCTAGGTTCCTAAATGAACCTGCCCCGTGGTTTCTAACTAGATTTCCATATCTATAAAGAATCTTGTTCATATTTTTGAAGTTGTAGAACCCATTAACGAAACCGGGCACAAGAAGCCACAAGGTAGTTTGACTTAAATGAATACATACTAGTGAGAAAGGGAAACATGGTTTTAGAAGCGGCTTTATGGAGGTTCTTGAGCTTTATGTCATGTTTGGCAAGCTTAAGCCAGCTTATTTTTTTGAATTTGTTCCTCATTTGGTTTGTCATAAGCTAGCTTTTTGAAATGCTACTTATAAGCTCTAGAGGCTTTTTGTCCACTTTTTTCCAATTATGTCTCATATTTTTTCACTCAACTTTTTGACATGTCCTTTTCAGACACTTTACATTGTCATGTAGCTTATCAGCTAGTTTTACCGAACTTGACTCGTTTTACCAAAAGTGACTACTTTACCGGCTAGCTTATCAGTTAATAGCTAGTTTTTTAGCTGCAGCTAGCTTGTTAGCTAGTTCACCAAATGCAGCCTTTGGGAGGTGCTTATGCTTAGGCCATATTTGGCAACACTATAAGCTAGCTTACTTTTGGATCTTATTGATTAATCCTCGTTTAGTTTGTCATAAGCGAACTTTTTGAAACACTACTTCAAGTAGCTTTTCAATAAGCTCAAGGGGATTTTTTCCATTTCTTTTTTCCAATTATGCTCCTTTATGTCTTCCCAACTAAAATTTTAACATTCCCTTTTTCATTTTACATTGTTTGTCTAGTTCATCAGTTAATTTTTACCAAACATGACTAGTTTTTCAGCTAATTTGCCAAGAATAACCTTAACAAGTGGAAATCAGTCTCATTTGAGCCTAAATACTTGGTCTTCTAATTTCTTGCTACAGGTACCGTGCAATCACAAGTGCATACTACCGAGGAGCCGTTGGTGCTTTGCTTGTTTACGACACAACACGCCACATCACCTTCGAGAACGTCGAGAGATGGTTGAAAGAACTCCGAGACCACAGCGATTCAAACATCGTGATAATGCTAGTAGGAAACAAGGCCGATTTGCGTCATTTACGCGCAGTTTCCACAGAGGATGCAAAAACCTTCGCTGAAAAGGAAAACACCTATTTTATGGAAACATCAGCTCTCGAGGCCCTGAACGTAGAAAATGCTTTCACTGAAGTCCTTACCCAAATATACCACGTAGTTAGCCGAAAAGCACTCGATATTGGGAACGATCCTGCAGCATTGCCTCAAGGTCAAACCATTAATGTCGGGTCAAAAGATGATATTTCGGCTGTCAAGAAAGTCGGTTGCTGTTCTACTTGATAACGATAGCCAGAAGATCAAGATTTTTGAAGTTTTCGGCTGATAATTGGGTTAGTTTATGAGCGAAATTTGAAATCTTTAACAAGAAAAGTAGAGATCAGGCTACTGGTATTACTTCAATTTTTCCTGCTATTTTTGTATAATTCAATTTGTTAACTGCAATGGATCATGTATTTATATATATATTTGGGTGTTTTGTTTCTAAAATTTTCCTTTTTTGACATCTAATTGAAGTAAATTTCGGATTGTTTGCTTCGTTGGATTTCGATGGAATCTGAAGGGATTTGAATGGTCAGCTCCGAAGTTCGGTTCATTCTTTGAAAGACATTGAAATCTATGACTTGCTTTGAATTCCGCTCATCATGAAATTTGGGGCTGTTTATCAAATGCTTATTGGGTAAGCGTCTTTTTGGTTGGTTTTTTATTAAGTCTTATATGGATAAAGTTGTCTGTGTTGATTAATTTGTTGGTATAGATTAGGAAGTTTTTTGTTTGGGAGGGTTTTTTTCATAGATGGAAAAACATGTTTTTAATTGGGAATGACAAGTTTGCAAAAAACATGGTTTAATGCATAAAGCTTCCCCTATAAGCTTATTGAATAAGTCACTTTCTATATCATTAAGCCATTACCAAACAGTATGTATAGTTGACCGAATAAGTTGTGAGTTTTATTAAACTCATTAAGTTGCTAATAAACATGCGAAGGGTTGAGAATCTTATGCTTATCTGGTAAGAGGCATAGCAAGGATCAAAAATCTAAATCAGTAAGTGAAGGGAAAGATTCTTATCCAGTAAGTGCTTACGGGGTAAAAGACGTTTACTATAAATCTACTTTTGATGACCGAGAATGTTACAAAAAGCATGTCTCGGCTGCCAATTAATGTTAGTATTAGTTTTATCATTATATAATATTTATAATTAAAGCAAGAATGTACAAAAGGTTATAAAGGGTATTTTGGGTATTTATCGTTATCTCGTTACAAACCAAATAGTCAGATTCTAATTCCTTTGATAATTCAATTTCACTTTCCGTCAATCAAATGATGATTCAATTTCATTCAAATTCCAATTCTTTAACACATCTCATTCATTCCAAAAACATTTTGTAAATCAAACGTCTAAATCATCCTCGAAACTGTAGTTTACAAACATATGATGTATTAACATGCAGACGGGTATCATCAAAGAGATGGCCAAAGCTTGCTTTCTATCGAGTTTGATCCACGCACTCCATCGTAACTGTTTATTATTTATGATAAATAACATGAACATCATTCACCATGACTATGATGCATATTCATTATGAATAACTTTTATGTATATATATATATATATATAGGGGAAGGATCAAATGCAAACCAAACCATTTGTACAAGACCTCATTTCAACCAATCATAATTTTTCTTTTCTTTTCACCTTTTTAATTATGAGGGTTGATTAGTCATTTTTATTATGGAGTATGTTAATTAAGGATATTATCATCTTCATTATATTACTTTTAGAAAACAAATTTCATCAAAATGAGGAATACATGAAACATTTTCATTTTCACATAGAAACAAAAATTTATGAAACAATTTCATCAAGAAAAGACTTGGTATGAAACAATTTCATTAGATTAAACAATGAAAATCGACAGTTTGTACGGTTTGTACAAATGGTTTAGTTTACATTTGATCCCTCCCTTATATATATACATATATAAGGTTGGGTTCACGTGAGACCAGCCTGTTTTCGTGAGACCCGTGAGACCAGCATTTTACACGTAAACTTCACAGCAAAAACACTGTGAAGGTTTAAAAAAAGTCGAACCTTCACAGCAAAAACACTCTGAAGGTTTTAAAAAGTCACCTTCACAGCATTTTTGCTGTGAAGTTTACGTGTAAAATGCTGGTCTCACGGGTCTTACGAAAACAGACTGGTCTCACATGATCCCAAGTCTATATATATATATATATATATATATATATA